AGAAAAAAAAAAAGGCATTCTGCTGGATTGGTTGCTCCGTCCCTGTGCAGCTACAGAAATATTTGTGGGCAGACAAGCAAGCAAAAAATGTATGGCTAGGGAAAGAAGGTTGGGATGAATTCTTCTAGCTGCAGAGCCAACTTATAGCAGTCATGGAGCTGAGGTGTTCGTCTCCTCCACCTGCTGCTTCACACCCTCTCACCCTCATTGTGTACTTCACACTGGAGTCATTTAGGTTCCTCCCCCAGTTGCCAGACCCATCGGGGAGCCCTGGGAAAACAAGGGAAGGATACTAGATGTGGCATGAGGCAGCCACTGAAGATCCCACCTGGGTCCAGGCTGGAAGTGGCATGAGCCTTCAGGAAATTTGACTGCAGTTCTCCAGCAAGGTCGTGCTGACCCCTTGGCTTCTCACAGACTTGCACTTTGAGCACCTGGGAAAGATTTTAAGAAGGTGGGACAAAGCGTGTCCTTATCACAGCAGTCCTCTCTGCAAGCTTCAAGTGTTCTTCTCTGAAGCATGTGAACACTAGTTTCTCTAAGGAAAAACAAACGGCTTCTCTTTACTGCTGAGTCAAATGATCTGCTATTCTCTTCTTGCCAAAGGAGCAAAACCACTGTGAATGAACTTTTCCCAAATGTTTTGAAAAGTAGCTGTGTCTTAATGAACTGGAAACACTAATAGAAGATGCTGAGGAAATAAGAACATTGGTATCACCCATACTTATCTCTTCTGTTATCCATATAAGGAACATCAAGCATTAATTAGAACTGTGAGTTAAATTAACATGTTTCATGATATCCAGTATATAGTCTTTTCTTTTTGATGTACAAAATGTCATATTGTTGTGTGATAGGAGTTTAAAATGTATCCCTTATTTAAAGCAGGGCGGATTGTAGCTCTTTTATCTTAATCTCTGGGCATTATTACTAAATTCAGCATCAACACTGTGCTTCCCTATATAAGCTGATTGGCCAGTGGGATGTGTTCATTAACCTAGAAACTGATTTTTCAAGAATACCAGGTTGTTACTTACAGTTACACAACCCTGTTGTCAGGCCACAACCCGTTGTTTGGCCAACCTCCTGTTCCCTCCTCTCTATCAGGTTTAATTGCTTGCTTTCCTACAGAAATGCTTTCAGCATGCTGAACTCTTTGATGTTAGCTAGCGGATAGGGTTATGAAACTCTGACTGGGAGGCCTGGTGTGTTCTGGTAAGCTTTGTATACCTCACTGACAACACACAGAATAGATAAAAATGTATCTATTTTAGAAACATCGATATTAAACTCTTTTCATACCAATAGTTTACTTCAAATTGCCCAGTGCAGTAACGGAGATCTCCATCAGCATTCCCTGCCCTGCCCTCTTGGCCAGGAGGCATGCTAGTGGGGAAAGGAATACATTAGAGTGAGAGGGAGAGATACCAGCCAACAAACTGCTCATTCAAGTGGCTTACTTGGAGCAATACTGAAGGTGCTGTAATAAATATGATACACTTTGTGATAGCCCTGATGGGAGAGTGTAACACTTTTCCCTTCTTCTCTGAGCTTATCTACTGCACCAAACATCTCGTCATGTACCACAGACTAATATTAGGTGTGCTAAGTCCAGACCAATCTTGTATTGTGGTTACCAGTGAGGTTATTAATACTGCACTCATCAGTCTGTAAATACACAGTCTCTGTTACAAGTTTACCATGAGGTGCCATGTCCCCCTAAGGGAACTATTAACCCAGACAGATGGCATTGATCACTGTGCTGAGCCATGGCTAACTCTGCTCTCACATCTCTCCTAGATGGCTGGGTAAATAAGCACTTGCTCTTGGAGAAATACCCCAAGAGGCACAATATAGAGACTGTTCTGGGCTGTTGGGCAGAACAAACTCACTGACATGGACATCCCTTCATTTCTTTAGTGTGGATGAGTGCCCTGGGGTTGTGTGGAGTGAGGACAGTGTAGCCTGGGGTGGCTGAAGAACCTGCCACCATCAATTGTTGCCCCTGCCCGAAGAATGGGCTGCTCATAGACAGCAGCTGAACCACATGTTCAAGAGCACCGTGCTTTAAAGGAAAACATCGCCAAAAGATGTCAGTAAACTGGGACAGCCTCTGAGCTGAATCAGAAACGACTCAGCCATCCCTGCAGCAACAGGACAGTTACTTGGGCAACAGCTTCATCAGCCATCTCTGAGATAGGTCATCCTCTTGCACCAAATCCTGTTGCTGAGGATGACCACATACCCACAGAGCCTACAACGAGCACCCCCAGTCAAGAAAAGGTTTCCCTGCCAGTCACAAAGGGGACTGCTTATAGGTTTTCCATTTCTGTTATCAGCTGTGCTCCATGGCTTTCCAGTTTTGAGCTTCCCTGTTGGCACTCAAGAGAAGGATGTCCATACAGGAATCAGGAGTGAGGCTGCAGCAGCCAATTTTGATTTTTTTCTAGAAAATATTGATTACTTGTAAGCTCTCACCCCAGCCCTCTCCTTCTCTACCACTTAATGGACTAGACTGCTCCATTTCCAAAGAGGTATTGGCAACCACCAGCTGGTGGCCCAATGGCTTTGCTCAGACAGCAGGAGGGGAGACTGGAGTGGCTGATGGCCTCACACACTTTTTATATGGTTTTACCATCTCTTTATTTTGTTAGTCTGATATAAGATACTCTTTGTTTTTAGTAACCTGATTATTTTAGAGAACCTCCTTGAAGTAAAGACAAGCCACACAGCATTTCCTTGGTCAAAGTTCCAAAATTCCAGTAAAAATCTCCATTACATCCATAAATGTGCTCATCTATAAGTTGAGCAAACATACTGAATAAAATAGAGAGAGAAGAGGATGAAGTATTTAATTATGCTGCCCACCAGTGAGAGTTGGCTGTGAGAAGAATACACGGTAGGATCGAGAAACCCTCCTTCTTACCAGGAATCTAAAAAGCAAGTGCCATTGCTACATCCATCCATAACACTGATGAGAAACACCAGAACAGCAGGTATGCAGTGACAGTTAACAGTAAACTTACTTTAAGCCAGGTCACTTGGGTCAAGATCTTTGCAATGCAGAGAAATACCAGCATGACTTCTAAGTCACAGAGTCTCATCTTCTTGCCAAAAGCCAAATATCACTCTGTTTCATTCTGCAGCTGATCTCTCTTGAGGATACTCTCACTGAAGAGAGGGCAATTTAGCACTACTCTACAAGCTCATTTGATTCGGTGGAGTAGCATCTTCTCTTTTCAATACAGAAAGTCCCTCTGTACACACTTTAAGTCATAAAACTGAGTTAATAACAATTTCCCTTGGAGAGCTCAAGTTTCGTCTGGAAATAAAGCTGAAGAAATGCCTCTCCTGGGACATCTGATTTGTTAATTCAAGGCTTATGTCTCCCCTCCTGAATGTTCTAGTGCAGTATTCACTATCACGCTGCCAGATGCACACAGGTACATTGCCATCACTCCTTATCACCTCCCATGGCTTCTCACACCTCTAAGGCTCAGTGACAAGGAGCCACTGTCTTGATAGGAAGGGCCGTGGTTGTGTTCAACTTTGACCAGCTGGCAGGCAGTGTCTCCAAACACAAACACTCTATGGTCTTTGCTATTGTGAACAGTGAGACAATTTAGATTAGATATTAGGAAGAAATTCTTCACAGTGAAGGTAGTGAGGCACTGGAACAGGTTGCCCAAGGAAGTTCTGGACACCTTCCATTAGACGAGGTTGCTCCAAGCCCCATCCACCCTAGCCTTGAACACTGCCACGGATGGGGCAGCTACAACTTCATCCATGTTTCTCTGGGCAACCTATTCCAGTGCCTCACCACCCTCATGACAAAGAATTTCTTCCTTGTATCTACTCTAAATTTCTTTCTGTCAGCTTAAACCCATCATCTCTTGTTCTGTCAGTCACTATATGTCCTTGTAAAATGTCCCTCTCCAGCTTTCTTGTAGGCCCTCTTTTAGGGACTGGAAGGCTCCTATAAGGTCTTCCCGGAGCTTCCTCTTCTCCCAGCTGAACCAGCTCAACTCTTTCAATCTGTCTTCATAGGAGAGGAGCTCCAGGCTTATGATCATCCTTGTGGCTCTCCTAAAAGAGTTATGTATACGTATAGGTGTATGTATGTGTATATAAAGCACTATAATTCCTACCACCTTTCTTACACACACCCATGTGTGGCTGAACAGCTTTCATTCTCTGTGCAGTTCATGGCATTGTTTCTCGTGATTTTCATTCTCCTTTTTCAGACCCTTCCTCCAATCCAAAAATTCTTTTAATTTACATCCCAGTCCTCCAACGCCTTTGGAGTCTCTCCTAGCCTTGAGTCATCTCACATTAATACTCCTCAGCCATCACTGGTCATTCATGGAAACACAGGACAGGGCCAGGCGTGGAGGAAAGATGGGTGAAGCCTGCCCAGTGCATTTGTCCATTTGGACCTCAACCTTTGCCAGCTGCTCTGATTCCCCAGCCAGTTTTGTACCTATTCCAGAATTGCTTCAAGGCCACCCTAGACCACATTCCCCTCGCTTGATATGACGGCGGAAAAGGCGCAGCACGGGTGGATGCAGACTAGAACTGCTTTTATCACCTACACACGGATATCAGTACGTGAGGGTAGGTGCAGCCCAAAGGTGTGAGGCTTTCTGCCCAGGGCCCTGCCGGACCACGTTCCCCCCAGAGCCGAGCCGAGCAGAGCGCGCCACCAGCGGCGCCGCGCCCGCTGCCGCCCGCCCGATACTGCGGGGCCCGGTCGCCCGCTGCGCCGCCTGCCTGGGGAGGGCCCCTGGGCCGAGGCGGCTGCTCCCGAGTGCACGGCGGGGGTCCTCGCATGAAGCCCGGCCACAGATCTCCCTGTGCTGGTCCCCGCCTTCCCCCCGAGGCGGCCCCGCTCCTGTCCGGAGGCCCAGCCGAGCGCCGCTGAGCCCACCCCGCACGAAGCCGGTTGGAGCCCCGGCGGGCGGACAGGGCCCCGGGCCCCCGGCGGAGAACCGCGCCCGTACCGGTAGTAACGGTCATCTTTGTAGGGGGTGAGGTCCTCCTTGATCTCGCGGTAGGTCTCCCGCACCCGCCGGCAGAAGCGCTTGACCTCGCCGCACAGCGGGCTCCCGAAGGCGGCGAAATCCGCCTCCATGCCGGCCCTGCCGCCGCCTCAGGGCCCCCGCGCTGCCATGGCGCCCCGCCGCAGCCCACCGGCGCTGCGCGGCCGCGGGACGGGGGCGGCACACGAACCGCGGCGGCAGCTAGGGGCGGGCCCTGGCCGGGGCGGCGGGAGCCGCTTCAGCACCACGGACAGGGGCGGAAGTGCCGCCACCCCACCCACCGCGGGCGGGGAGCGGGGGTGGGCTGAACGTTCCAGCAGTGCTTAATACCGGCGTCCCGGTTGTTACAGTCTGTTTTACCCAACCAAATGGGGCCGGCGTGCACTGCCAAGGAAGGCCTCACATATGCGTAAAAGGCATCCTGCGCTCAATCTGCTTCTTGTGGTCATAACGCCGTAAGTGCTCCCACGTCAGGAATAAAGCTGTCTGGATTTTCAGACTGGCTCCTGCTGAGCTCCAGCCGATTTGCACAGTGTCATGCCAGCTTCAGTTGTGTGTTAAGCTCTTCTTCATGAACAAATTCACATTGAAACCCTGTTTTAAATTATTCTGTCAATTCAAACCTTAGTAATTCCCATGAATTAATGGAAATGATAGTGCCTGTATAAAATATGAGAATATTTTACTATTGAGATGTCATAATTGTTTCTAGAGAACATAAACATAGAAGTCTCCTATTCTGCCCCTCCCATGTAAATATCTTCCCCACTGGTGTCCAGGAAGTTGGCTGGGTTACTCCCCAGCCTTGCCACCTAGTCTGAATTTTATCACATACCAAGGCTGGAACATGCACTTTCACTTCAGTATGGCACCTTCAGTATGGCACCAATAGGTGGTGACAAGAGGCTGATCCTGGTGGGGCAGAGACAGAAGAAGGGACACCTCTGACTGAGACTTTCTCTTCCCTAATTCTGAATATTTCCAAGCCTGGGAAGAGGCAGCAGCAGGATAAAAGCCACATGCACATTTAGGCTGGATAAGAGAAGGTTCCTACCAACCACGGGACTGTTGTTCAGGGCAGCCTCCAAAGAGAAGAAAAGGGCTCAGCCAACATCAGGGCAGAGCTCAAGCAGCTTCTGAGCAGATGCTTTGAAACCTGGGGACAGGCTCGGCCTCTCACACTTCTGTGACTGTACTGTACAACTCATCAGCTATGACCCTACTTGCCACAGTACCTGTGGCTCATGCAGTCATGGAGGGTCTTCCTGGAAGTGTTTATTTCATGGTAAATGTTTCATTTGTGACTGAGACTTACCCATGGCTCCCTCAAAGCAAGAATTAAAATTCTTTGTTATGTGTGATGAATATGCTGCTTCCAGCTCTCAGGCTCAGAGGCAGGAATTATAAATCGGATCTTTAAATATTTACCAAAAGGAGAAAATAAAACAGCTGAGACTTGAGATGAGTAAAAAAGCATTCACTGCTGGGAGTTACGCAGTTATACAGCAAAAGAATAAAAAATAGGCTCAGTGATTAAAAACTTACTACCATTTAATTACAACTAAGTGACCTCTACTGCATCTATTAAATCAACCAAACAACAACAGCAACAAAAAACCCTAAACCAACTAAGCAACCAAACCGCAAAACCAAAACAGGGTTTGCTTGAGGGCCCAAAGCATCACCATTCCAGAGATGCAGTCTGGTTTCCCCCATGTTGTGCTGAACATTATCCAGACCAGCTTCAGACTGCCTGTCCCCCACACCCTGAGTGCCATGGGAGGAAATCACACTCACTATGGAAGGCTGATAATCAGGCCTGCAGATTACTCGCACAGAGAAGGTGTTAGCTCTGGCCATATATTAACCCACCAACTTCAGCTTTTAAAAAACCTCAGCAAAATAGACACTGTTTCAACTAACAATTACCAGACATTACAGGATTAAAATTACAAGGGTTGTGAATAGTGAAGTTTGTGTGAAGAAGCAAGCTGATTGCATATTTCCGCTGTGGTACAGATTAAACACTCAGATACTCTGAGGTCAAGAATTCATTTTGAGTCTCCAAAACACTCTAACATGTTGCTAAAACAAGCAACACAGAGAGCTGTATGCATGTACCAGCATGCAAATCAGACATTTTCAGTGCACAGCCTCCTCTGCCTGGGCAATGATTAGGCACTGAAAGCATGCAGAGCTGCCCTGGCCATGCCTCCTGCAGCCAAGGAAACACCCAAGGACTAAAGATATTGGTGGTCTGTGAAGCCCAGCCACCAGAAATGACTTTGAGAAAATGACACTGTAGTTACAAGTCTGGCCTGCTGCTTTTTTTGCTGTTGTTAGAAGTGCTGTCCTTGGTACATAGTACTAATTCTAGGTAACATTTTAAAAGTTAAAAACACTTAGCTTCCATCCAAACACTTTCTTTAAAGAATTTTCAGGATTTATTTTTTTTTTATTAAATGAGAAAAATAGTAAAATAGACTTCTAATGTTAAATAGGCATTCCTGTTAAAACTGACGATCTATTTTCTCTTGTCAAAACCCAAAGAATGGAAAGTTTCAATTAGGTGTTCACTCACCCACAGCCCTGCAGATGCCAACAGATCACACTTCCACTTTTACTGGCTGTCCTTCTTTCCTGTCCAGAGCAGTCACAGCACAGATTGGGCTGGCACAGAAAAGCATTTGGTTCTGCAGGAAGCACAGCTTTAGTAAAAGCAAAGGGAAGACAAGGCTTCGTAGACAGCTTTGCAAACAAGGTGCAAGTGTAACCAGCAACTCACCTGCAGTGGGACTCTGCACTAGCGTACGACTTGCCTCATTAATTCCAGGGCACCTTCACTCACCTATCAAAGCCCAGCACCTTCTGTGTCAACCTTGTTTTCCTGTTTTCCACAACTCAGTAAAAGAGAGACAGCATCTGACTACATTGATGAACAAACCAATCTAATATCGACAGGCCCATAAACCTCAGTTAGCATTTAAGCATCTGGAACTCAGTTTATCCCCCAGTGAATTCTCCCAAGTGTTTCTGGACTTCACAAGGGGGAGAAAAGCCCCAGGAGTCTAAAACTAAGACACAATCAAACTCAACATCTGTTCAATGCACTCGTATCACATCACAAGGACAGAGTTTGAGTGTGATGCCTAACAGAAGTCCCCTATGTAATTCTTCCTGATTCTTCCCCCTCCCCCTGTGTATAGTTAGCCTTTTGCAGCGTCAGCCACACATAGTAAATTGGGATCATAGCTAAATACAAAGCTTGGCAATCCACTTAAAAGCACCAGGATTATCACTCTATGCAACCGTAGCTGGTGCTGAGAAGTTAAGAGAATAAATGCTGCCAACTCAAGTCCCCCTTTTTTCATCAAAGGAACAAACACACAAACAAGCAGAAGTCCAGCTGCTTGACAAATGCTTTCTTCTTCAAACCTGTTTTGAGCTGGAGAAAGACAGTAGTGGCAGCTGCTGCCTGGAAAGAGCAATTGCCTTTTTTTCCCCTTCTGGATGGAGTTAGAGCCTGGCCTATCAGATGGCACATAAACCAGCACATATCCAGACCGACTCTCACAAGACAAGAGAGTCTGTGCTGCTGTTATACAGCTGCAAATATGCTTCTGAGTCTCACCATATGCAGGAGCTGTCACTGATTACTTCTGAATCTCATGAATAGAAACTGTGCTGAGCCCCACAGGAACCTCAGGCCTCTAGTCCACCCTGTCCTCTTCACATCACTGCTGCCTTGATTTTGGAAGATAGGAACCCTTGCCTTACCCCAAGCCAGCATAGCTTGACTGTCTCCTCCTGTCAGAAAGCTGTTTTGTCACAACCAACCAGTTACGTGATGACAACTGTTGCCACATAGCGGTTCCTGTGCATGCAGGGGACCACAGCAGCATGATGGGGCTGGAAAGATGGGGAAGCTCAGCGGGAGCATGGCACTCACTGTAAAGCAAGGCTTCTCATTTATTTGAAGTGGTGACACAGGGACATCAGCTGGGACATCTCCTGACAGATCATCCATAACAAACCATCTCTGAGCTGACAGGGGCTTTGGAGCCACAGCTGCTCTTGTCATCACTGGGAGGAATAAAGCTCGACACAGCTGGCTGCAGATGCAGTCCTGACCCTCACAGCAACAGCGAGAAAGCCTCAGTGCTCTCTCTTTGTATTCTTGGAGATGAATCTTCCTGGAATTGATCCTGCTTTGAAGAGATGTGAGGACAAGAAAATAAAATCAGATTTATAAACTCTTTTGAGCAAAATTTAAGAAGAATCTCTTGTGAGGTGGTTTCAAGGGTAGCAAAGAGGAAACCCTCATCCCTGCACAGGAGGCACTGCACCCCGTCATATGCTGTGCCATTATTCTGCATCCCAGACAGCATGTCATTATTCAGGTAGAAGACTTCCTTATACCTTCCCATCATTTATAATACTTCTGTTTCTAAACTGTTTTCTATACAGATGTACAGAAAGGGAAGCAATTAAGACTAACATGGAAATAGTAAAAAGCACCAGACATTTTGGAAAACCTCTCCTTTTAGAAGCAGTTTATTGCCTGCATGCACAGACACACATAAATTAATAGTATGAACTTTTGGGTACTGCTAGGTCTAACTAGAAACATGCAGTATAAGCAGGGACTTATTCTATGCTTGGGAATCTCCTTTCTCCAGCCTGTCATTTCTGGTCTGAACCACAAAGCTGACTACTCAGTTACAAACAGCTTGTGACATTTTTTTCCAAAGTAATAGAAAAACATAAATTGTACAGGTTTTGCAGCATGTGTTTGCAGCCCACTAGAGTGAATTAGCTCTTGCTTGCACAAACCAACAAGTGTGTCTCCTGCTCTAGCCGTTTAGGACTACAGCTGATTTGCAGGATTTGGGCGTATTTCTAAGCTTGTGAGCCTGAGCATATGTCTGGCTAAATCATGAACCAAGACCTTGGCAAATACTGACCTCCAGAGCAAATTTGCCCTTGGTCATTGCATGTTTCACACATTTACCTCTTCATCTATCCAGATGCATTTAACTAAAGCAGTCTTGATTGAAGCTCTTCACAAGATGGAGAATCCACTTCTTTGAGCTTGTTCCAGTGTTAATAATTTTCATCATTACATGTGTCCTGCTTCTTTTAGTAATTTTCTTCAGCCCCCCGTCATTACTGCTTGTTGTG